CCCGCTGCGCGAGACAGCGCGTTAGCGAGCAGGTCATTCCGCTTCTCCGACGGGCCCAAGAGGCGCTGCTTCGGCGGCCCCGCTCGCAGCCGATCTTTGCCCAGCTTGCGAGCCCGAGGTCGTCGCCTTCCTGTGCCAACTTGGGCTCGGCATTTATGCGTCGAGCGTTGCCGAGCTCGCGGCTCAAGCACGGCTGATGAGGAACCAGCGCGTGTCCGATATCGGCCTGGAACCTGGTCGCTGCATGCGTCTCGCTTCAGCATTGGGCCAGCAGGTTGCAATTAGTGGGCGGGAAATGCGCGTCGAAGCTCTACAGCCCCCTGCTTCGTTCTACGCCCCGAGCTCTTCCAGGCCCCCTGCGCCGCCGGGCGGGGAGACGCGTTGTCAGCTCGCTGTGCCTGGCGCGTCGCTGGGGCCGTCAGGGCCTGGTTGGCCTGGCACTGAACTACCGCGTCGCGAGACGGTTAGTCGCCTGCCTGGGGATGGTTCGCAGAGAACACTTGCGACGATCGACCACCTACCTGGAGATCATGCACCCCCTCCCTCCCCCCGCTTTTTCAGAGTAAATTTGCGACGATCGGTCGCCCGCCGCCCACCTGGGGGGGCTCGCGCAGGAAACTTGCGGCGATCAGTCGCCTACTTGGGGATGGTTGACAGAGAATGCTTGCGGCGATCAGTCGCCCGTCTGGAGATGGCGCCCCCCCCATCCACCCCGTCTCTCAGGGTAAGTTCGCGATGATCAGTCGCCTGCCTGGGGGCGATGCGCACGGGGCACTTGCGGCGAGCAGTCGCCTACCTGGGGGGGATTCGCAAGGGGCACTTGCGACGATCGGACGCCAAACTGGAGATGACCCCTGCGAAGGTGGTGGGGGCGGGCGGCGTTGCGCAGCCGTTGTCATGGGGCGTGCGAGGCCCCTCTGCGCCGTCAGCCGTCGCCGGTTGTCCCGGCGCGAGCGCGGCCTGCCTTCCCGCCGACGATGCCGACGACGCCGTCGCCGACGACGGCGCCGGCGCCGACGCCAACGCCGACGCCGTCGACGACGACGCCGGCGACCTGGGGACTGAGCAGGCGGTGGAGCACATGCCAGGGGCGCCCAGACGAGCGGGAGCAGGTGACCACCCGGCCGCGCACCTCCTGTGGCCCTTCAGCCCCGGCAGCGACGCGCGGGCGGACGCGCTCGCCCTGGCGCCGCCCCCCCCTTCAACAGCGCGAGCCCCGGCGCCGAGGAGAGGCGGCGCTGCGGCAACATCGCGACGCTGGTGCGTCTGCTTGGAAGCGGCTGAACACCAGGACTGGCCCCGAGAACCGGCGATCCCCCAGCCCCGTCGCCGCTCCCAGGACGGGGCCTGGTGCCCAGCAACGTTGACGGCCTGGCGGGGCCTGACAGGCGGCAGACGACCGATGACGACGACGCTGGCGACGACGCCGACGCCGACGACGACGACGACGCCGACGACCTGGGGACTGAGCAGGCGGCGGAGCAGAAGCCAGGGGCGATGAGCAGGAGCAGGCGACCACCCGACCGCGCACTTCCTCGACTGACCCGCCAGCCCGCGGCAGCGACGCGCGGGCGGATGCGCTCCGCCCTGACGCCGCCCTCTCCTGCAACAGTGCGGGTCCCGGCGCCGAGGAGCGACGGCGTTCTGGCCAGCGCGCGCCGCTGGCGCGTCTGCCTGGAAGCGGCTGGACACCGGGCCTGGCCCTGAAATCCGGCGATCCCCCAGCCTTCTCGTCGCCCGCGGGGCGGAACCCGGTGCCCCGCGACGCCGAAGGCCTGGCGGGATCTGGCATGCGACAGACGACGGGCGGCGTGCACGGTGGCAGCAGCAGCAGAATCAGCGAGCCGCCACGCCCAACGGGGGCGGGCGGCGCGCCGCCCGCCAGTCACCCTGAATCCCGACACGGGAAACCAGCTTTACATAGTCAGGATCGAAGGCGCGCAGTGGGGCGTTGACGGGGGGCCGCGGGCCCAAAGATCAAGCGGCTCCAAGTCGCCCCGGGAACGATGTTCATGCGCGACTGGCGCGCGTTCGTCCAGATGCACGCCTCGCCCGGCTCCAGAGCAGTGCTCGACCCGCTCCGGCACGACCAGCAAATTCGCGTCATCTTCTTGGACTCCTTCCGCCACTACAAAGGGAGCGCGCGGTCCGTGGGCGACGCGCTGCACCTCGGGGTCGATTGGAATCAGCTGCGCGAGCGGCACCTGTGGCGTAGCGATGGCACGGGCATGGAAGGCGATGCCCCGCCGCGGAGACATCAGCAGGCGCCCCCGGCCTAGGCCGGCGCGGGCGGCCACGAAACCTGAGGGAGGAGCGTTCTTGGGCCCAGCATCACTTCCTGCCTCGTTTCTTGGGGTTCTCCTGTATTCGGTTCCATTGTCCATGTTATTGCCGCGATCAGCTGCCCCCGGGTTTCGCAATCGCCTTCCACCCTGTCCTCGATCAGCTGCCGCCCCCCATCATCCCCTGCCCCGTCACCATGCATTTGCAGCGTTCAGCTGCTCCCGGGGTTCGCCATCGCCTTCCACCCTGTCCTCCGTGCGTCTGCAGGGACCAGCTGCCGCTCCTCACCACCCCTTGTTCCATCACTCCTGGCCCTGTTCCGCAGCTTGCAGCCACCCCGTGGGCAGCCCAACGCGTGCTGCCCCTGGTCGCGCTGCAGCTCCTTGCCGGCGAGAGGCGGCCCCTCTCCCTGCTCGGCACGCGCAGTCAGTCTGCCTGCGCTTGCCCTCGCACGGGGGCAGCTGCCCGCTGGAGGGCGCGGTGCGGCCGCAGCCCGGCCTGCCCCTCTCCCTCCTCGCATTCGGAATCCTCGGGGGAGGTCCCCGAGCGGCCGTGGCCCGTCCGTCCTCTTTCCTTTCCTCGCGGTGCTTGTCTCCTTCGCGCCGGCGTTCATCTGCGCGCTCTACGCGGTATTTGGAGGCCGTTTTCTCCCGCGTCTGCGACTCACCCGCCGTTCCTGTCTTCTTCGGTGCTTGCGCTATTCCTGCTGGTCCGTTCGCTATCCTACGTCGTGGAATCCCGCTGGGTCGTGTGGTTCGTGTTCGGCATATTGCCCAGGGGATCGTTGGCCCGCTTCGCGTTTCTATTCTTGTCACCGCCATCTTGGCTAAGTGTGGCTTTCTTTTCTTTGGTCGCAAGTAGGGTCGCTCTTCCACCGCATCTGCATCCAGTTCGAGACCTACATGGACGTGTTCCCGGTGCCGCTTCGTGAAGCCGTCCGCGCCATTTTGGCTGCGCTGAGCTCCGCCCCGCTCTTTGCATGGCGTTGCTCACCGTTCTGTTTTTCCTTAGCTTGTGGCAGGGCCTGCCCTTCCTTGCGCGGCGTTCGACTCGCTTCGCGCGCCCGCGCACCAGGGAAATACCCCACCAGCCCATCCAGAAACGATGCCCATGAGAGCTGATGTGGGGGGGGAGAGGAAGAGACGCGCATATTCAAAAAGCGACGGAGGCCGACCTGGACTGCGCGTCGGTGCCATCTCCAGGCCGCGGGGGGGGGGGGCGGGAGAGGAGGATAAGGAGGAAAAGGGGCCGTCTCGGGGCGGTCTTAGTGACCTGTTGAGGCGCTCTTGGAAGTTTTGGGCTTTTTCTTGGGGCTATCTTGGAGGAGATCGATCAAACAAGGGGGCCTCGATCAATTTCCCCCTGCCGGGAGTTCCGTAAATCGCCTCTTGGCCCTTCCTGGGGCGATCTTGGCGCGCTGTTGGGTGCTCCCGGAGTCGCCCTGGGGCCCTATTGGGCCTCTCTCGGGGCCCTTTGGGGCCATCTTGAAGCAATCTTGAGGCTTCGGAGGGCCACCCGAAGCAAAAAAACGAGAAGGCGACAGTCATTGAGTTGCTTAAGTTATTTGCAGGATGTTGGCCTCTTGACGGCCTCCTGGGGGGGGGTCCGTAGCCATATAGAGCCGTCTTGGAGCGGTCTTGGGGCCTCTTGGGGCATCTTGGGGGCCAGCTCGAGCGAGCTTGGACTATCTCGGGCCATCTTGGAGGTCATCTTTGGTTTTCTGAGGCCGTTTGGGGGCCATTCGGGGGTGTGTCTGGGGGTTTTGTAGATTTTTCTTGGGGACTTTGGGGCGGTCGTGGGACCCCTTTGGGGGCCCACTGGGAGCCCTGGAAGCCTCTTGCTGCCATCGTGGGAGCGGTCAGTCAAAAGAACGGCAGTCCCCCCCCTCTCGGGGGCCACCCACTGGCCGAAAAACGAGGTTCCGACACGTCGCGAAACCTACAACAAATTTGGGGGGGGGGGGGTAGGGTTCTCCTCCCCGAAGGGAAGATGGTTTGTATAAAACATCATTACACAACCTGTCGCCCAGAGGGCTGTTGGGATTTTGCTTAAGTCGGCATACTGCATTTCTCTTCCATCGTGACGCTACAGGCTGCTGCATCGAGTCTGCGCCAAAAGAGGCAGAGGAGGAGGAGGAGGAGGAGGAGGAGGAGGAGGTGGGGACGAAGAAAGGTCCAGGTGGAGGTGGGGGACGCAGAAGAGGCGTTCGCTAAAAGACGCTGCCGCTCCGCACGTCACCTCTTGACGTTGCTCCAACAGTCTGCGCCGCACCGCCGACCCCTCGGGAGCCTTGGTTGTCGATCTTCCGCTGGGCGCTATCATTGAAGCGCGTTGGAGCCGACGCGCCAACGCGCCGACGCGTTTGCCCGTGGAAAACCCACACCGTACGCAACACGGAATCAGGTGGGTTGTTTGGGGCCCAAGGCTCGAGCTATAATAATAGTTTGTTTTAATTTCGTGGGCCATTTTCGTGTTGATTTCGTTTCGCAGCAGAGCCAGAGCGAAGACAACACGAAGAAAAACCACACCACACCAAAACGAAAACGAACAGCACTGTTCAGCTCGAGCCCTGCTGGGGCCTATCGGCGGCCCTTTGGGGGACCTCTGCTGGGCCTCTTGGAGACTTCTGTCGAGCCCTCTTGGGATTGCCCACGGCCTCCTCGACCCGCAAGGGCCCCCCCATGGTCTCGGGGCCCCACTCCCTGCAGCGCCCACAGGTGCCTGCCCTTCTCGGCGCCCGTCAGCCTGCCGCTCAGCGCGCCGGCGAGCCGCTCTGCTGGCCAGCCTCGCCCGAGGACGCTGCAGCGCCGCGCGAGGTCCGCGTCCAGCCGCAGGATCGAGCTGCACCCCATGGCCCCGTCAGAGCCAGGGGCCCCCAGCGCCCCCGCGGGCGCCAACCATTGCAGGGCCCCTCCGGCGAACAGTGGCGCTGCGGCGTCGAGCGGCGGCGGCAAGCCGAGGGTCACCTGCGCGCTGCTTATCAATGGCAGCAGGGGCGCTGGCGGGGCCGCGGCGGAGCCGGACCGGCGGGGCCTGTGCCCTGGTCATGGCCGGCCCAGGGGCAGCTCGCCGCTGACGCGGGCGCCTGGCGGTGGCCTGCCTCCCAGCGGGCCAGCGGGTATGCGCCCAACCGCGCTGGGCAAGCCCGCCAGCATCAAGAGGATAGACATGGGTGCCCTCCTGGGCCCATCCTGGAGCCCCACCTCGGTGGCGTGCATGCCCATGCCCGCCGAGATGCCGAGGCCGGCGGCCCATGCCGCCGAGGAACCGCCTTTGCCTGGGCAGCGGCGGGAGCAGGTGCACTTTGGGGCGCCGCCGCGCACGAACAGCCTGCAGGGCCTTCTGCAGGTCAGCGGCTCCGCCGCCCCCGTGGCGCCGCTGCCCGCTGCTACCAGTGGCGCCGCGCCGCTGCAGGAACTGCAGGATCTCCTCAGCCGGGGCTGGGAGTCCTCCGACGGCGAGGACCGAGCCTTAGAAAACGGCATGAGCTCAAGCGTTCGGAGGCCCGAGCAGACCTCCGAAAGCTTGTGCTTACCATGCTGCTTCTCTCCTTCCAAGAGGAGGACGATGCCGCCGCCGCGCTGAGCGAGGGCGAAGAAGCGTTTCACTACAGCAGGTACCGGTACCGCGACGTAGCCGCGGCCCAGGCCGCGGAGTGCCCTCGGCCCGCCGAGCGGCACAGGCGGGGCCAGCCAAACCCATTGCGCGGGGCCCAGGGCGACGCCAGAGGCTCGGGCGGGGATCCGTCGGACGACGAGTCTTGCAGCTCCCCGTGGCGCCGTTGTCGCTCGCCCTGCCCAGCCGCCCGAGCGTTGGTCGGCTGGTCGCCTGCGAGAGCCGTGTGCTCGACACCCGTGTGCGAGGAGGAGGGGCAGCAGCAGGAGGAGGACCAGCTGCGGCGGCTGGCGGACGCCCTCGTGAAGTTCTACGGCCTCCCAGGGGCCGGGGCCGTCAGGCTAAAGCCCAACACGGCCAACCTGGTGTTCGTCGACGAGCGCGCCTGGGCCGAGCGACAAAGGCGCGGGCAGTTGGACGAGCCGCCCATGATGTGGATCCGCGGCGGTCGCGTGTACGACTTCCACGGCGACCGCGGCACCCTCGAGGAGGTCGAGCACGACCTGCTCGTCCGGCAGGTGGAGGACGACCCGGGGATCCGCGACCGGAGGCGGGCGCAGGTCGGCTGCACGCGCAAGAGTCGCCATTCGCCGAACTGACCTTTGGTGCACGGCTTTTTGGGAGCGTCGTGGGGGGAGGGGGCGTGTGGCAAACCCAGGCACGCAGGCCGCCACTGCCGCACCGCACGCAACGTTTGGCAGGCCGCGCACCAGAGGTCGCCCTGGCTCAGGGCCACTCTTGGCGTGCAGCCCGGGCAGGGCCTGATGCCGTTCCCCTTCGTCGCCGTCCCCCTGAAGGGCCACTGGGACCTTGAGGCGGAGGACGAGAGACCGCCGCCCCTCGGGGGGGCCCCGCGCCCAGAGAATAAGGCCGAGGCCGCCAGGCGTCGCCACTGGCTCTCCGCGTAGCGGGCCCTGAAGGCGACGGGGGGGGAACAGGGAGTATTCAGAGAGCCAGGAACTCCAGGCCTCAGAGTTGCGTCCGAGCAGATGCGGTCGAAGAATCGCGCTGCACTGCCGATGCGTCAGCGATGCGGCTCGATGTGGGGCCCGATTTTCTCTACGCATTGCCGAGGTCGCCGATTAATCGGCGCTGCATCGGTGATGCGGCGCGATCCTCCGATTCATCTACTCGGACCTCATACGGGAGGTATATTTAAACGGTGACAGCATGCAGTCGGGATCGTTGGCTTGGCGGGTTGCGCAGCCGGTTCTGGCCCACCACGCTTCTGCGCGACACGCTGACTACGTCCCAGTCCAAAAGCGTCAACGTCCCGTGCCTTTCTCAGCCTCCCGCCCCGCGGAGCGGAGCGATGCGCTGTCAGCTTGCACGGCAGCGCGTATCGCCGGGTTGCCGCCGAGACCCGCAAAGTTTCCGACCGGAGTTTCGGAGGTTCGTACGGAATTCTTGAGTCGGCGCTGGGCCCCCCCCGCAGCGCCTCTGGCGCCGACGTCGACACAAGCAATCTGCGCGGACCTTTATGTTTCTTCTTTTTGCTCCCCTGCACCAGGTGACAGGCCTGTCGGCGAGCCTGGCCCTGCGCAGACGGCCAGTCGGCGAGCCCTCTGGGAGGGAGGGTGGAGAAGGAGGATCAACCACCGCGCCTTCATTGCGGGACGTTGAGTCCCATGCAGCTGCTGAGCATCATGCAGCGAGCAAGCAACAGCAAATCATTGCCTGGCGTTGCATCAGGAAGTCTATCCCAGAGGGTCGCAGGATCTATCTTGTAGAGCTTGCGAAAAAAAACACGCAATCCAAGGATGCAGTATGGAACCTAGAACCTAGAACCTAGAACCTAAAACATGTATATATATATATACATATATATATATACATACATATGCCGATAGGACCACCCTACGGGAGATAAGGAGGTTGGGGGGGAAAGGGGAGGCGGCCGATTTGCGATGGCCCTGAGTTCCTTGGTGGTTACTTCAACTGTCCTTGTCGCGCATATCTGCCCATCTATCGATCGATCTATCTATCCGATTATCTATTCAGGATGCCCATCTGTTTATTCATACATATCCATATGGCGATGCACTTGTCGACCGATCTGCCTACCGATGCACCTTCACACGTGTATATATATATATATATGTACACATACACATGTATATTCTAATGCTTAAATCTGTCCATCCACACACACACACCTATATATATATATATATATCCATATCGGCCAATCGACCTATCTATCTCTCGATGTATATATAGCTATATAGATCTCTATCGATGTACACATATATATATATATTCATATATATATATATATATATATATATATATATGATGGTGCGTTGTGGTGGTGGTGGTGATGGTGATGGCGGTGACGGTGATGATGATGACCATGATGATGATGGTGGTGGTGACGGTGATGGTGGTGGTGGTGATGGCGGTGATGGTGGTGATGGTGATCGTGATTGTGATGGTGCTGGCGATTATGATGATGATTTTACAGATTTATCACCACGTGCGCGAAACAATTCCCTGGAGCACCCGACGCTTGCGAGCGATAAGCACACACGTGTTTTGTGAGTCTGATGCGTTGGCAAATGCGGTGGCGGAGCCTGGCTCACCGATCCCCCAGCGCCGCCGCCGCAAACGCATCGACCGGACTCAGAGCTGGCACTCCGCCAAGCATCGGCCGACACAGGCTTGGGCAGAGCCTGCGCCTGCACCTCCGTTTTTGTTGTTCGCCTCCACCGCTGCGCCCGCGTGGATCGAAGTGCGCATGTTTATTTAAGAAGCATAACTTGCGCGGCCTGCCTGCGTGCTGGACGCTGGGCGCACCGCACCAGCGACACTTCCAAACGATAGCCCGGTGTTCCCCTGGGCGACGGCCAAGCTGAATTACACATTCATGGCCGCTGGAGCGGCCGCAATGCTGCCGCCAGGCTGCGCGCGCCATTCGCAACCGCTGGGCCTGCGTCCCCGGTGGCTTGCTTGGCAGAGCCTGGGTTGCTTCGCCGCCGGGCAGAAAAACCCGAAATTGCGCAACTGCTCAGCTAGCTTTTGTGCCGCAAGTGTACGCGCGCACGTGCACATACGCTGTCAAGGTGACGTGGGGGCCCCCGCTCAAGGCACATGCGCCATTCGGTTCCCAGGCATTGAACAAGACAAACTTGTTCTTCACGACTTGAGTGGCTATTCGATGGGCACCGACATCCTACCGCCACAGACGCCTACCTGTGAAGCGCCCGATTGCGATCAGCGCCGTCTGGCCCACATTCGGGGCTTCATGCGCACCTGCCTCGGAGGAGCGCGCCACTGCCATGCTGCAGAACGGTAGCTTCGGCAAGTGGTGCTGGACGAAGCCTGCCAACAATTTCGCGAGGACTGGGCGGGCACAAGTGTTTACCGAAACGCACGGGCCCGTTGCCCGATTAATGGCCATCCCCAACTGGAGGCGTGGCTGGGTGCCAGAGGCTGCCTTCGTCGCGGGCGCTCTTGCGGGCTTGCCTACTGGCCGTAGCACGCGCCCGATGTGAGCAGGCATGCGGCGATCTGCATGCCCCAGTTCGGACACTTCCACGTCAACGCGCCTGGACATCACCAATCGCAGCGCAATTTGCAGGTGCATTTACTTGGCTGTGGCAGAGCCTGCCGCTGGCAGGTCCGAGCGCTGGGCCGGCGCTGCAAAGGCGCTGGCAATCGGCGGCGGCGTGCCCCGATCGGACTTACCGAAATAGCCAGCAAGGCGGTGGTGCCAGTGGTGGCAATGGTAAAAATATTGGTGTAGTGATCGTGGTGGTGAGGCGGCAGCGACGCTGACAGGACGCCGCGCTCTTCCAGCGACAGGTAGTGACGATGCCGGTGGTGCTGGTGATGGCAAGGCGCTGGCAGTGGCGGTGGCTGTGGCAATGGCATGATGCGTGCTGCTGGGCCGCTGGTGGTCACTGCGGATGGTGCTGACGATGCAATGGTGGTGAGGGTGGTGGTGGACGTGGTGGTGGAGGTGGTGCTGACGGTGGCGATAGTAGCAAGTGTGGTGCTGGCAGTGGCAGTGGCGATAGTCTCTCGCGGTTTCTGCTGGCGGTGGCGGTGGTTGTCACTGCTGACGGTGGTAGCGACGGCGGGAGCGGTGGCGGTGGCCAGGGCGCCGCGCCCCCAGCAGTGGCGTGGGCGAAGCGATGCGACATGCTGTTTTTTGTTACATGTTGGTGCACCATGTCGCGATGCCAGCGCCGCTCGGTTGCGGGCCTGCTCCTATGCCGAACGCCCGAGGCGCCTACAGCGTGCCGGCGCATGCTCTTGCGGCTGCGCGCCTGAAGAAAAAACGCCCCCATGGCAATCCCACTCCTGCCCCTGAACCATGCGCACCCTGCCCCTCGCACTCGCCACTCGCTTCCCGCCGGCAGAGCCGGGCGACTTGTCGCGCGCGCCTGCTGGGGGAACTGGGGCTGCCGCGGCGTCGGCGACGGAGGCCCCCACTGCAAACTCTTCATTTTCGGCGCCGTTTCCTCCGACCAGAAAGGCTCCCCCTTTATTGATGCAGGCGACAAGGCCGCTTCCGCGTCTGCAGCCGCTGCGACCGATTTCCATTCGGCCTTCGCGCTTGCCGTGGGCCGGCGCGCCTCGTCCTCAGACGCCTTCTGCGCTAGGTCAACATTGGCGGCGACGCTTGCTGCCGCGGGGGTTTGCCCCGGGGGCTCGACGCCCACTGCCGAAGCCAAGGCCGGGGCGACCTCCTTGTCGAGGCGGTTTGCCAGCATGCCCTTGAAGTCCGAATAGCCCGCCAGAGTGATCGCAACTGCGGGGTCGCTCGGAAGGCCATGCTGGGCGTTCTTGGATGTGATCTTGAACGCTTGCCGCGGCGTCGGAGGCGACTCGTCGACGCCGTCGCAGTCCGTCACTGGGGCGCCGCGGACCGGCAGCAACACCTGGTGGGCACCGAGACGTTCGCCGATGCCCCGCGCAAGCGCCACGCCGATCAGCGGGGCATCGCGGGGCCGGGATGCTGGGCCGGGGCTCGCGGCGTCACAGGCGCTGACCTGCGCTGAGACGCATGGCCCCGGCAGAGACGACCGCCTCGAGCGGCGCGACTTCCGCCGTCGCGACGCACCTCCGCGCGACCCCTCCCTCGCCGCGCAAGACGCCGCGAACGCTCAGACGGCGCCGCGCGCTTGTCAGATATTGAGCGCGGACGTGCTCCTTTAAATCCTTCTGCGGAGCAGCCGCACATGGGCGGCGCGGCGTCGACGCCCGCGCCGCCCGCCCAGCCTAGAAGCGGCAGGTCTCGATGAGAATGCGCCTGATCAGAGGAAAAATGAGGTCCTCCTCCAGCGGCGGCCCCAGCGCGCAGCGGTTGATCAGGAATGCGATCGGCGCCCCCCCGGGGACTGCGCCGCCCAGCGCCGCGGCGCAGGCCGAAAGAACCCCGCCAGCTGCCAATTCTGCTAGGTCCTGCCCTGGCGCGAAAGTGGCACCGAATTCGGCGGCCTCGGCGGGCGCGTCCAGGCCCGTTAAACCTGCTGCCTGGGCGCCGTCGGCGCGCGCGCGAGCGCGCGTCCACATGTTCAACCTGACTTGACCATTGCCAACCGTCGCGGTGTAGCGCGCGACGGCCGCGCCGTTCCCCGCCTCTCTGCGAGCCAGGGCGCGGCGGCCGCCGCCCCATTCGCCCGCGGCAACTCCGCCGCCGCCGCCGCCCGAGAACGTCGCCTCCGAGACTCGGCGGGTCGCCCGCAGAAGTCGAATGTCCCGCTGGCGCGCGCGGGGGAACCTGCGAGCTGGAGCGCGCGCGCGGTGCTCTCGATGTCGAGCGCATCCTGCGCCCCGCAAGCAGGGCGAGAGACTCGGGCGCGGCCTCTTTCAGTTGCGCGGGGGCTGCGAGCAAGGGGGCGGCCTTCAGCGGCCCCCCGCGAAAATCCAGCTTCGCCTTGGCATCGAACGCCGGCGCCGTGATCCCCCACGCGCCATCGCTGACAACCGCTGTTTCCACGCTAGCTGCGGCGCGGCGATTCTTGACTTCAAAAGGGACGAGGCCCATCATGTGCCGAGGCCGATCCAGCGTTGCCAGGACGCATTTGATTTCTTTCGCTTGAACTGTCTCACCTCGCAATTAGAAGCTGTAGTCCTTGAGTTCTAGGTCAATCGCTCGAACGCGCCGTTTTGCGCGCTTCCCCGCGCTCGCGTACATGTTCTCGAGTGTGTCCGCATTCTCTTGGAGAGCATGGCTGTTGGTAGCTGCGGCGGCGGCAGAGCCGGCCGCCCCTGCTGGGGGCATCTGGCAGTAGAGGCAATCGAAGCAGTAGCTGGTAGCTGGAAGAACTGAGCCGGAATTGCTGCGGATAGCGGCGGCGGCGAGTTGGGCGGCCGCGGGCGAGCGCAACGCAGTGGCGACTGCAACTCAGCGGCAACAGCGCGGAAGCACAGCGGCAACGCATTGGCTGCAGCGTGGCAGCGCGGCGCCTGGAACAGGAAAGATGCGGCGCTTATTCGCCCAGCTCCGTTGTCGTGGTTGCAGGCGGAAGTCGGTGGCGCGCGTTTGCCCGCCTTTTGCTTTCCGGCAGCGGACCGGGCGCCCTCCGCGCGCGCACTTGCGGCAACCCTTTTAGACGAATGTCCCCGACGCCAGGGCGAGAGCCCATTCTTGTGAAAGCCGCCCGCCCGCCAGCCGCGCAGTTGTTGCAAATTGCGAAGACCCGCGCCCGCGCTGCGTTGGCGGCGGGGGCAAGCGGCGATGGGCG